CGACTCGGTCCAGTGCTGCGGCTGCGGCCACATCCCAGGCCGCAGCCTGGTGTTCCGCCGAGTCGTGACCTAGCTCCTCAGGATATGGCCCAAGCTCCGTCAGAAACCCCTCTGGGTCCATCAGGCGCCTGGGACGGAACCATCTAGGCGGTTCCGTCTCCCTGCGGCGAGGGGCAGCGGTCCGGAAGTCCATCCTAAGTGGCTTGGAAGAATCTCCCTTCTGCCCAGAATGAGTGGGTATACAAGAGACACGTTAGGGCCCCTACGCTTTTAAAACGCTTTCATTCTAAATATCTTGACAAACCTCATTGACTTTGTATGTTGTTGTTGTTCCCCTTTCCCTTTTTGTTTTCTAGGTGGATTTCCCGTTCTTCTAGGGGGGGCGTATGTCAGGTCCCCCAAACCTCTGTGTTTTCCTTTGCATATATATTCTAGTTTTGGGGCCTGCCATTCTGCTGGGGGGAGGGGGAGCTTGGGATAACTTTTGCTTTCTACTTTCCCTCTCCTGCCTCCATCCTTGAGAAAGGAATGCGTCTCCCTTATCAGGGAGACGGTTACAGAGAAACAAAAGCTGGAGAAGACCTTGAGATGCGCGCCAACTGTGCCAGTTATCCACACATCATACCACCTGTGGATTGGCTGAATTTCAAATGGACATTATGACTTTGGTGGGAGGAGGAATATTGCTTGCTTAACTATACCGTTTGCGTGGGATTTTCCCCAGATCTCGCCTTGACTTCCATACTGTCACTGACCCCAAATAAAAGTATCCTTTTGAGACAATGCCTGTTTCAAGAGTTCTGCTTTCTTGGGTGGTTAGTTGAAGTGGATCATTACACTGGGTCTGCTTCATATTTTGGTTACAGGGTTGAAGAACATTGCATACAATTATTCAGTGTCTATCTTTATTTTTTATTTGCTTCTGATTATCTTTCCCATCCTTGCCGGGTTTTTTGTACGCAGCGAATGGTGTCTGAGATTTTTCAGGACAAAAATATCTGTCCTTTTTGGTTTCTTTCCTTTGTTTCTTTGCAATGCTCTTTCTCGTAATTTTATTTCTCTTTTCTAACTTTACAATGAAATCCCACATTTAGCCACCTCACTTCATCTTTGCTGCCTATAGCTTTAACTTTCCTTCTCTATTCAGCTATTTGGATAGGGTCTTCAGAGAACCATTTGCTTGTTTTCAGTGGTTCTTTTTTATGTGGAGTTTTGTTTATGATGTTTTCCATTTTCCCCCCATAATTCATTTGGTTACTTTTCTACAAAGTTAAGTAATCTGAATCTGTTACTTCAACTGCATATTGTCAGGATAATGATTTAAAGACTAACCAGCTGATGTAATGTAAGGTGGATGATACAATGATAGGAATGACTCAGCAGGTGTCTGTATCCCTTTAAGACCCTGAGTATAAAAGGGAAGGCTTTTGCTGCTGTGTTCTCTCTTTCTCTTGTCCGTTTCCTGCTGTAACTGCTATATGTTGGAGTTTGCTGTATTACCACATGTATATATTTTGTTTCTAGTGTATATTGTAGATAGTGTAATATAAACCACCATTTAATATAGACCACTGTTTACTGTGTTTACTCCTGGGTTATCTCAGCACAATAAGACTGTGCATGCTCTGACACATATAGAGATGAACTTGTGTTGAGATATTTACTGGTTACTGTGTTCTTTTTGGTGTTGCAGAATATGAATTCAAAATAGACTTGGCTACAACTACTTAACTACAAGTAGTTGATGATCTGAGCCACAGTCTGCACCAGGTAAAGTTTTAACAGAGGTATCTGCGACTTCCGTAAGAAAACACAATTGGCTGAATAATATATAATTATTTGATTGTCATACAGTCCTTTTGGAGATGTCCATGTATACAAGTGGTGCTTAGATTGAATAAACTGTATACTGGTGACCCTCTTCTGATTTTATTGACGAAACTGTACAAGTGGTCATCTGCTTCATTTTTTTCTCCTAAATCAAATCTGCCAATTTCTGTTTCTTTTTTGTCTCCAGTTTTGCCATTGAAATCCCCCATGAGGTATATCTCTTTTCAGTGTTTGTTGTGGGGCTTCTTAAATGTCAACATAGAACTGTTCTAGTCCTTTGGATACATCCGTTGTTAGTGCATAAATTTAGAAAACTGTGACATACACAGGTTTATCTTAGTTTCTAATAGCCATTACAGGTAGTCCTTGACTTAGAACCACAACTGAGCCCCAAAATTCTGTTGCTAAGTGAGACAGTTAAGTGAGTTTTGCCCCATTTTATAACCTTTCTTGCCACCGTTGTTAAGTGAATCACTGCAGTTAGTAACATGGTTGTTAAGTGAATCTGGCTTCCCCATTGACTTTGCTTGTCAGAAGGTCACAAAAGGTGATCACATGACCCTGGGACACTGCAACCGTCATAAATACATAGGGGATTATGTTGAATATTTTTGTTTTTAAGGTAACAGCTTTTCTGAGAGAGAAAGGAAGAGAGAGAGAGAGCCTTGAGCATATGACAGCTGCCACACTGATAAGAAATATGGATTAGTATGTTGCATTGTGTTGTCAATAGTAGTATGTAGGACAGGATATCATTTTGGTTTTTGTGTATGATTTATTTGCTGTTTACTTATCTTGCTTTTCAGACAACAGTTGTCTCTCAGAGCAGCTGAAATGTTAAAGAGAAAAGTCTTGCCATCAAGCAATTTAAAAATATACACATGAAAGAAATTGAGTGTAAAGTTTAGGATGAAGGAGGAAAATTAATTCTGAAGTCCAAAGTATTTATATCTAATACTGATCAAGTTGATATCCTTTTCTTGGCCTTTTGGTTTAAAAGCATTTTTTGACCCTTGTTCTCTGATTAATCAGAAGACCGTAGCACATTGCCTTTTATCTGTCCAACCCCTGGTAACTGACTTTCATTCAATTTGTGATGCAATTTTTCTGCAGACCAGCTGAGATATCAATGACACCGTAGTTTGTCCTATTATTTTACTTTGTGCTGCTGTGTAAGGGGTGGAAGCTTCTTACCTTTGTTCACAGAAGCAAAATGTTTTACTTTGTTATATTTCTATTTTTTTTAGGTAGAGGATGAGACAGTTTTACATAACATTCCTTATATGGGTGATGAAGTGCTTGATCAGGATGGAACATTTATTGAAGAACTAATAAAAAATTATGATGGAAAGGTACATGGAGATAGAGGTAAGTTATGTGCCTTTTTCTAAAGCATTTGCTTCAGGTAGTTGATATGGTCTGTCTGATAAATATAATTTATTATTTATTTAAAAGATATATATGGCTGCCCATCAAGCAACACTAGGTAGCTCACAACAACAATAAAACCAATTGATTAAACAATCATAAGACAGTTTAAAAAACCCCCTCCTTTTTATGATCCTGTAATCCCTTAATTTAGGGTGACTGGATGGAGCTGAGCATTTACTGGCCAGATGCCCTTCCTGACGCCATATGGAGTTTGCAGCAGACATTTTTTCTTTGTGCCCTAGGAGAGAAACATCTGCTGCTACCTAGGATTGAACTCTCAACCTTCCGAGTGGGAGGTGAGCGTGTTCACCACTAGGCCACAATGCTTCTCCAAAGCATTATAGGACAGTAAAAACAGTAAAATAATAAAACAAAAACTGTGCCTTAATCGTCCCCTTGAGATGTCCCACAGCAGGCTCAGTTGCCCTCCTTCCATACTATACCTAGACAATCCTATCCCAGCACCTCCATAAGAAGCCAGGTTTTAATGGCCTTCAAAAAGGATAGAAAGGTGGGGGCCTGTTGAATCACTGGTAGGAGGGTGTTGCACAAGGTAGGAGCAGCCATGGAAAAGACATTGTCAGAACTGCCACCTCACGCCTGCACTTTTCATTCTCAAGCTGCCAGTCTGCCATGAACTATGGGGGGAGGGAGCTGGAAGGGAGGGGGGAAGGCTAACGACTCAGCATACCTTCTAGAGCAGGGGTGTCAAACTCGCAACGTCACGTGACGTGTCGCGACGTATCGTGACTTTTTTGCCATTGCCGGCAATGGGGTGGGTGCAGTTTCGCTATAATGCATCCAACCCGTGGGCCGGCAGTTTGACACCCCTGTTCTAGAGACACAAATTCAAGGTCAGACAGCTGGGAAAGGCATGCACCTCCACACTGCCCAGTCTACAGTTGAAGAATCTGTTCCCAAAACATTTTATTTGAATATGATTGGACAATGAGAGATCAACAGTGGGAAGGGATAAAGCGGAAAAAGTTAACTGGGACAGTTTGGCATGCGAACCTCAGTTCTGGCTTTGCTATACTATAATCCATTTGGCCTTTAGTAAAGTAAACCTTTCACACCAAATGGAGTCGAGGGTTGTTCTTGCTTAAGGAACCAAGTTGGGGCAGGACTGACAGGCACATTTCCGAGGTCCCACTAGATGGCAAAATTTCAGGGAGGGGACCTGGAGTGTGCCCACCCTATCTGATCTAGTGGGACAGACAGATACACTTAGGGAAAGGCAGTCCCAGAAATAACCAGGTCCTGTGTCATATAGGAGTTTAAAGGTGTTAACCAGCACCTTGAATTGCACCTGGAAGAAAAGTGGGAGCCAGTGCAGCTTGCACAATAAAGGTGTAACATGGGCAAACCTATGGGCACCCAATACTGTGTGCACCATTGCATTCTGGACCACTTGTAACTTGCAAGTGGTCTTGAAGGGAAACCCCATGTAAAGTCTATTGCAATAATCCAACTGGGAGGTGGTTAAGTTATGAGTTCCCCATCCAGGAAAGGGTGTAATTTGTGCACAAGATGGAACTGTGCAGAGCCCCCCCACCCCAGCCATGGCTGTCATCTGCTCATCAAGCAGGAGCTGTGCATCCAGGAAGACCACCCAAATTGTATACCAGCTCAGTCTGGGGGAGTGCAACTCTGCCCAGAGTCAAAGATGAGAAATGGCTAGACCCTGGGGACCCAAAAATCCAGAGCCCCTGTCCTGCTCCTGCTCACATACACACACCACAGAGGATTCAAGGAGTTTATTGAGGCTTTGAAACCCTACAAAAGTCTTTCCCAGGGAATTCCAGTCCAGCAACAAGGCAACCCCCCAATGAGTGTCCCAATTCATTTCTGAAATGACTCCTGCACAAATCAACAAAGCTGGAGCAGTCCACATGACAAGGACACAGTAGAGGCAAGCAAGGCACCCCCCCCCACACACACACACACAAAGTCCACTGTCAAATTCAAAGGCAAGGCAAATCCGAAAGTAGATCCAAGAGTCACGGCACGAATCCAAGGTCTAAGTCCACAGTCCAGGTCAGGAAGATCAACAAAGAAACTGGCAAATACTAGGCACCAAAAGACATGTTCTTCCCAGCGTCATTCCCCTCCTCTTGTTGCACTAAATAGCCATTGCCCAGTGCAGCCCATCCAGAGGGGCGAGGCTGCTGACTTGTGAGTAGCCAGGCTGACCTCCATTGCTCCTGCCTCTTCTCTGCTCTGCATACTCTCAGATCAGGCGGAGGAGGCAATTCCTCCTCATCTGTGCTGGCCGGCTGCAGCTGCCAGCATCACCGACTCAGCCAGGGGTAGAGATGTATAGCTAGGTATTGTGAGACTAGACTGAAGCTGCCATACCTAAAGATTAAGCAGGCATGTAAGCAAGGTGGATAGCCAGGAATCTTGTGTAAAAGATCCTTTCAGGAGATAGATAAGAAGGTACTAAGTCGTTAAGAAAACAAAGGAAAATTTTCACCTAAACTAGAAAACTGAAGTTGGGCCTGAGCACATGGGAAAGCCCTCCCAAATCCTATCAACAGCTACCAGAGTTGAAAATCAACAAGGAAAGAATAGCTTCCAGTCTTGTGAATCAACAAAGCAAGAACTTTGGGGGATAAAAGGGGTCCTGAAGCCCACCCACTCTTTAAGTCATCTTTGGATCCAGTCATCTCCCTCACCCAGCGGTTCCAGGTAGATCGTAGAAGGAAGAGGTGAGAAACTCAAGCCCTGAGACACCCGACACTGCAGGAACCTAGGGCTCAACCTCTTCTCACTCCTCACTCATTATAATATCATACATTGTTTCTGAGAAAACATTCTTCGCATCAAATAATGTAATTGCCATTGTTCATGATTCCATTTTTGTATCCTCTCTTTACAGATGTATAGTTCTTTCTGCACAATACAGGAAATCTGCTTGCTTATACTGATGCCACTTTTTGACACTAAGCTTTAATGCAGTGATATTGTACTGAATATTACGTTCATAACTAATTCAAATAAGCCTTAAGTTTCCTTAATAAAAAAGGATTTTAGGCTGTTGTCTAGGCCTGAGTCTTGCATAGATCTTTCAATTCCTACTTAACAATAAACTAAAACAATAAACTAAATAAAACAATAGAATAAATAAATAGAATTGAAAAGTAGCAACTACTAAATGGAAAAAGTTCTGGTGAGGATTACTCTCTTTTCTTCACTAATAGATTTATTTATACATGGATATTTATAGATCTGTGTGTTGTAAGCTCCATGGCACGTAATCTTATTTAAGTTTTTATTTTGCTTCAGTCTTAAGAAAGTGCTTTCTCTTTACTGTATGGTAGACTAGATTTCCTTAGTTATACACAGCCTTGTAATAAATATGTGCCTCATCTGGTGTTCGTGTATGCTTAATTTTCAGAGTGTGGATTTATCAATGATGAAATATTTGTGGAGCTAGTCAATGCACTTGGCCAGTACAGTGAAGATGTTGATGATGACGACGATGATGGTGACAATCTTGATGGGAGAAGTGAAAAACAGAAAACTCGGGAGACCAACAAAATGGGTATGTTAGTAGGATTTAGAGATCTTTGTGGTATGCTGGCCTCACAAGCAAAGTCTGATGATCAAAATACATACCTTCAGTTACGTAATATCTTGAGTTTTTTTAAAAAAACTAAAAGCTGAATGCCAACAAGCATCACCTTTTGATTATTATAACATTGAGTGATGATTAATGTTTGTGAAACATTAATCATGGACAACACAATATTATGATATGGTTATCATTATTTCAAAACTACTTAAAGCTGGACAAACCAATACATAGCAGTACAGTGGGAATCGTGGCTGATCGCAGAAATGTAAGCAGGGGACAGCTTGTTTAATACTTGGATGGGAGATTCCCAGGGTATGTCAGAACTAGTCTGGTAAATTGAAAAAAAAAATCTCAAGAAGCTAATGATAAACTACTTCTGTATTGTTGCCAAGAAAGCTATATGGATATCAGCAGAAGTATCACCATGTCTCCATGAAGGGAGTATCCAAATGAATATGTTCCATGATGCATGTGTGTAGCCAGTACAAGCTGGAATAATGGGGGGAGTTGGTACTCTCATAGCCAATGAAAGAGCAACATAATAGTCTGTCTGGCTGTTACAAAAACAAAGGGCAGGTGGACATAGTCCAAAAGTAGGAGGCTTAGTAATCTCAGTGTAATTCTTTAATTTCTCTAGTAGTGATCTTTGAATTTAAATTTACTGTGTGTAAATTTACTCCCAGCTCCTGCTTAAAGAAAATAATGCTAACTTTGTATTACTGCATCTACAGTGAGGGAAAAAAATATTTGATCCCCTGCTGATTTTGTACGTTTGCCCACTGACAAAAAAATGATCCGTCTATAATTTTAATGGTGGGTTTATTTTAACAGTGAGAGACAGAATAACAACAAAACAATCCAGAAAAACGCATTTCAAAAAAGTTATAAATTGATTTGCATTTTAATGAGTGAAATAAGTATTTGATCAATTTGATCAGTCAGCCAGATTTCTGGCTCCCAGGTGTCTTTTATACAGGTAATGAGCTGAGATTAGGAGCACTGTCTTAAAGGGAGTGCTCCTAATATCAGCTTGTTACCTGTATAAAAGACACCTGTCCACAGAAACAATCAATCAATAAGATTCCAAACTCTCCACCATGGCCAAGACCAAAGAGCTGTCCAGGTATGTCAGGGGCAAGAATGTAGACCTACACAAGGCTGGAATGGGCTACAAGACTATCGCCAAGCAGCTTGGTGAGAAGTTGGTGCGATTATTCGCAAATGGAAGAAACACAAAATAACTGTCAATCTAGGGCTCCATGTAAGATCTCACCTCATGGAGTTTCAGTGATCATGGGAACGGTGAGGAATCAGCCCAGAACTACATGAGAGGATCTTGTCAATGATCTCAAGGCAGCTGGGACCATAGTCACCAAGAAAACAATTGGTAACACACTACACCTTGAAGGACTGAAATCCTGCAGCGCCCGCAAGGTCCCCCTGCTCAAGAAAGCACATATACAGGCCCGTCTGAAGTTTGCCAATGAACATCTGAATGATTCAGAGGAGAACTGGGTGAAAGTGTTGTGGTCAGATGAGACCAAAATTGAGCTCTTTGGCATCAACTCAACTTGGCGTGTTTGGAGGAGGAGGAATGCTGCCTATGAACCCAAGAACACCATCCCCACTGTCAAACATGGAGGTGGAAACATGTTTTGGGGGTGTTTTTCTGCTAAGGGGACAGGACAACTTCACCGCATCAAAGGGACAATGGACGGGGCCATGTACCATCAAGTCTTGCATGAGAACCTCTGTGGAAGGAGCTGAAGGTTCAAGCTGCCAAACATCAGCCTCGAAAGCTTAATGACTTGGAGAGGATTTGCAAAGAGGAGTGGGACAAAATCCCTCCTGAGATGTGTGCAAACCTGGTGGCCAACTACAAGAAACATCTGACTTCTGTGATTGCCAACAAGGGTTTTGCCACCAAGTACTAAGCCATGTGTCAACGCTGCTAATATTGAATATTCTTGCTTTGACAAAATATGCAGAACTGTCTGGTACTTTTAGAGTTAATTCAGATGAGAAGGAAGGAGGAGAGAAAAGCCCACAAAAGGGAACGGAAGTGAATCTTTGCCCTCCAGGTTAATTGGAAGATGTGAATCATGACCCCAAAATAGGGGAGGGGAAATGCCTGGAATGTTATGTGCAAAGGGAAGGGAAATTCAGATCTTGGCATCCAACATGCCGTGCTGACACGCTCTACACTAATAAAGGCTTTTTTAGGTTAAACCATGCCTGAAAATTCTTTGAAGTGTTTCATTAGTCAGACACATGACATCATGCCAAGATCCACAAATTTTTTAAACCAATTAAGAGGTCCCGGGTCTCGGTCACTATTCCTAAACTAAAGGTGATAGACTGACAAAGATCCGGGGAAGATCTCATTATGGAAGGAGAAAGATGGCTTGAGGCCAGCACCTCAGCAGCAGCAGCTCCCCCAGGGAGTGGAGCGGCAGCCAGCCAGTCAGGGGAGAAAGAACTCTGGCAGATCTCCCAGCTGGGAGCAAAGACTTCAAAAGCAGAATGGAGAGATAATGAAGTTTTGGGTGAGTCACTGGAAAGATTTCAAAACCCAGAGGTGAAAAGCAGAAATCAATTCCTGGAGAGAGGGAAATCCAGTCTGAGGCATCTGCAGCAATGGGTAGATTGGGTTCCCCAGCAGATGGATGGTCAGCGATCTCTGAGCTTGCCACAGCTAATAGAGGCCTTGCAACAGCTTGGGGTGGTGCAGAAGCCAGGAGATCAGCAGCTGGTGGGAGACCGACCACAGCAGGGAGATTGGCCACAGCCCCCGAACGTGCAACCCCTGAGTATAAATCTGCAGCCAGGATGGGGCCAGCAGCAACAGCCACAGTGGGGGCCCCAACAGCCTATGATTGCACCACTTTTCAGAGCAACCTTCGATGGGGACCCAGAGAAGCTGGGTTTTTTTCTCAACTAAGTGCGTTCTCATTTGAATTGCTGGGCCTATCTCTACCCGGACCCGGGGGCCATGGTCGATGTGATTGCGTCCAGCCTAGAGGGAGAAGCATCCGAATGGCTGAACAATTTATATAATGAGCAAGCCCCCGAATTGGAGGACCCCCACCTCTTCCTCCTAGGGCTGAGGGAAAGATTTGAGGACCCATCTATTGGTCTTAAAGCAAGAGAACAGATCCACAAAATAAAACAAGCCGGCAGACCTGCCCTGGAGTACATGCGGGAATTTCGCAAGATAGCAGGTCGAATAGAGGGGTGGCCTGAACAATCCCTAATCCATCACTTCATTGAGGGATTAGATGATCACCTCTCTCAGGCCTGCATCTATCGAGCCGTACCTGATCAGCTGCAAGAATGGTACCAGGCAGCAGTGAAGCTAGACGTTCAGCTCGCCTGCTATAAGAAGCCTCCCCCACCTGAATCCGAGCAGCTGCCAGAACAACCCGGACAGCAATCACCCCCACGAAAACCTCCAACTACTGCGATGGCTGAGAGACCCAGACCACCTGCAGGCCCATCATTTAAGTGCTTTTGGTGTGGACAAGAGGGACATCGAGCGGCAACCTGTCCAGTCCCCTACCCCTGACTGCAGAGCAGACCGGAACCAGCAACGAGAAGGAAACCTGCCCAGCGGCTAACAAGAGAAAAATCCAACCGGGTCACGCAAGAACCTGTTGCCCAGATTACACCCCCCACATAGGAGGACGCCGGGACTCTGGGTGGACCCGCCCCTGCTCTACTCTCCTTTGACAGCGACGATGAAGGAGAGAACGACCCGATGGTGAGTCGACAAATCCCGCCTTTTTCACTGGCCGCCAAACTTATAATCCCTAAGGCTGGGGCACAAATGGACTTAAACGTGCTAATTGATTCTGGATGCACCCGCTGCATTATTAGTCTGCTGTTTGCCATGAAAATGGGCATACGGGCAAAACAGCTTTCCAAACCTGTGAGGTTTGAGCAAGCCGATGGCTCCCTGATGGGAGGGACTCTTGTCACACAAGTAACTGAGCCCTTACGCCTAGAAATAGGTGCGCACTGGTAGTTTATTCGCTTCCTAGTGGCTCCAAAAATGACTGAGACTGTGATCCTAGGGCTAGGCTGGTTGGACAAGCGGAAGCCGTTTATCTGGTGGGAGAAAGGAATGAGAACTGTGAGACTACCTATAGGGCATAAACCTACCGCTGATTCAACCGATGTTGCAGGACATCTTAGGCCACCCAATGAGTGAGTGCACATGGCTGCCTCACCGCCGCCGAGTGAACCACTCATCCCCAATGAATACCGGGACCTGGCAGAGGCATTTAGTGAAAAAGAATGCGATGTCCTGCCCCCTCACAGACCCAATGACTGCTCCATCGAACTGGTGCCAGGAGCCAAACTCCCACGGCCAAGAATGTATGCTATGTCCCCCCTCGAAATGGAGGAGATGCAGCAATACATGAACAAAAACCTAGCGAGGGGGTTCATCGAACGGGCCAAATCTACCGTGGGAGCCCCTGTGTTGTTCAAAGAGAAAAAAGATGGGTCTCTTCGTCTCTGCGTAGACTATAAGGGTCTCAACGCTGTGAGTGTGGAAAACAAATACCCTCTCCCCCTCCTAAAGGACTTATTAACCCATCTGGCTAAGGGGAGTGTCTTCACTAAATTAGACCTGAGAGAGGCATATTACTGGGTGAGAATAAAAGAGGGAGACGAGTGGAAAACTGCCTTCAACTGTCCTATGGGTAGCTATCAGTTCAAAGTCATGCCATTTGGACTACAGGGGGCCCCAGCCATATTTATGAAGTCGATTAATGAGGTCCTACATGATCACTTGTACAAAGGGGTTTTGGTGTATCTTGATGATATCCTGATATACAGCACGAATATGACTGATCACATAAAGCTGGTGAGAGAAGTGTTAAAGAAACTATTGAATGCCAAGCTTTATGCCAAATTGTCGAAATGTGAATTTCACCAGACCCAATTAGATTATCTTGGCTACA